CCCAGTTTACCAGCCCCTCCGACGGAGAGAACTTAGGGAAATTACGAGAGGCCGCTTGAATAGGAATAACCCGAGCGATGACTTCCGCCATCGGGAAATGGGTAGAGATCACGAGACACAGATCGAAGTCGTCAATTTCAAAACGTCACCTGCATGCCGACCACGGATCGATAACCCAATAAGCGAGCTTACACTCCACATCTAAACGCAAAGATGATGCCGCTTCGCATGGCGGTGAAATGTTTGCAAATAGATCTCCCAGCACGGCGAACGAATGAGCAACTGATGTTGAGTGTCATTTTTGAACTACACGCATGGATAAATTCCGACAAGCAACCTCTATCTTGACTGCGAATCCTATTAAAGTGAAATTTTGCATTTCGATCACGAGGACCGTAGCTGATGCAGATAGAAAATGAGTGTTGCCCGCGCGAAAGCAATTCAATACTATGACAACTTTCGAAATTATTAATTCTCATCAGATAGAATAAGCATGCATGGAACTCGGGACCATTGGGATGTTAGTTGTGACCGCTACCCCTAGCCACCGGGTCACGGGCAACGCTTGGCACAACGGTATAATGGACTATGTACACGGTCATTTTGAAGTACACGTTGTGCGGATGGATTGCGACACGCAACCTCAATCTTGAATGCAATTCCAATTGAAGGCAACCTTGGTCTCGATCAAGAGGACCGGAGCTGATGCAAATAAAATTTGGGTGTTTCCCGCCCGAATACACTGCACTACTATGACGCGTTTCGATATAATTACATCGCATCAGATAGAGTTAGCAGGCATCGAACCCGGGACCATTAGAATGTTAGTTCTGTCCGCAACCCAAAGATACCGGGTCATAACGAGCAACCTTCTTCACATCACTTAAATCAACGATGTTTAGGGTTAGTTTTAAAATACAGGTTACCTGGATGGATTTCTACACGAAATCTCAATGACTACTGCAATTCCTGTTGAAGTGAAACATGGACCCTCGATCAAGTGGACCGTTGCTACTGCAAATAGAAATTGGGTGTTCCCAGCCAGAAAACACTGCACCACTAAGACACATTTGGATGTTATTACGTGTCACCAGGTAGAGTTAGAAGGCATCGAACGCAGGACCATTGGTATGTTTTTCGGGACCGCTAAACCTAAGCCACCGGGTCAAGAAAGTCAACTTTTGGCATGACGGTTTAGTGAAAGATGTTGAGGGTCATTTTTAAACTACAGGTTTTGTGTATAGATTGCGACGCGTAATCTCCACTTTGACCGCGATTCTTATTGAGGTAGACACTAGTCTTCCGATGACGAAGACCGCAGCAGATGCAAACATACATCCGGAATGACCCACCCAAAAATGCATTATACTGAAGGGTTTCGATGTTTATCACATCTCATCAAATAGAGATTGCCGTCATCAAACCCGAGACCACAAAAATGTTATTTGTACTCGGTAACCCTAAACCACCAAAGCAGGATAGCCAAGGCTTGCACAATGGTATAATGAACGATGTTGAGGGTCATTTTTGAAGTACACGTTGTGTGGATGGAGTTCGACCCAAGCTCAAGGTTAATCGCGGCTCCACTGAATTGTACATTGGTCTTTCATTCACGCGGACCATAGCTGATGCAAAGAGAAATTGTGTGTTGCCCGCCAGAACACACTTCAATATTATGACGCGCTTTGATGTTATTTCATAAGATAGAGTTTGGAAGCATCGAAGCAGGGACATCATTGATGTTAGATGTGACCGAAAATCTAAATCCAACGGTCACGACTGCCGACTCTTTTCACAACAATAAATATACAGTGGATTGTGACACGCAATCTCAAAGTTGCTCACACTTCTCATTGAAGTAAACCTTGGCCTTTTATCACGGGTACCGCAGCTGATGCATATAACATGTAGAACATTTGGATGTTGTTGCCCAAAATTTCTGTACCATTGTGACTCGTTCCCATTTCGTTATATCTGTTCTGATAGGTTAAGCAGGCATCGATCCCAGGATCATCGGGATTTTAGATGTGACTGCTAACATTACGTCACCGAGTCATGATGCGCAACGTCTGCTCCAAGGTTTCACTGACATGTTGAAGTTCATTTATGTAGTACACGTTGTAAGCGCCGAAAGGTTAAGAAACCTTGCCGCTGGTTGTCAAAATAAAAGACCGGAACGGATCCGTAATCCCCGGAAAAAGTGAAAACCTCAACGCCGATGTAACTCTGGGGCTATTGAATAAAAACAACAAATGCCAAAAGTGACAAGCTTCAAGCGGTTTCCTCACACACAAACGCAATAAAAACTTTAATGGATACCGCAGGAAAAGGATCCCAAAGCCGAGCATGGACCATCGCAAAGTGCAACAAGTGAGCGAAGCCGTAACCGAGCAGCATCGCTTCGAAGCAAGCCAACACACCAATGGACTGTCTAACATATAGAGCTATGCTGCGCAGTCAACCTCGCCTGATGGGGCAATTATTTATAGGGTAAAATACACCAATAACATAGCTTGGAACAGCTAATTGCTGGAGTAGTCTATGAGGATGCTGTCTGCGGCGTCTGCGATGGGTTATCGGTAATTAGCATACCAAACGATTAAGGGCGTAAAAGCAAAACGAGTGAGGCGGGCTTCAGTAAACAGAGAGTATTAGGGGAACAGCTATTAAACATTCATTTATTGTGAACGAGCTTGATAGCCATTCTTTACTCTTCCTATTTTCTATTTCTTGACTGTTGTTTAAACGCTCTATTGGGTTCGCCCGATTGGTATATCCACGTCATTGTTAACGGACGCTCATCGTCATGGCCTTCTCAGCAGCGCTATTGCAAGAACATATTCTATTGGTTTTTTCTTCTCAGCACTGTTCTACTTGGTTATGTTAAAGGAATATTTAGTTGTCACACAATTATTGTACTAGTTTTCAACTTTTGGGTCTGTATTCCTTATTCTAGGTTGTTTCGTGACTTTTGTTTAAACGTTTCATTTCGTCATTCTGATTGGCCAGTGCCCGTCACTGTAAATGTTCGTTCGCTTTACGCTTGGAGCCCAAGGATGCCATTTTTAAGGACCTACGCGATTCGCTCTGAGTACACGGTTGCTTATTCGTCGTTGCTTTGACATTTTTCCTTCAGTTGGTTGGCTCAAGTGTACTTTAGTAGCTTCCCTTCATTTTTTCCTTCAAACTATATAAGCAACTGTGATTTTATGGATGCAAGTCTCCTTCTGGCTCGTCTTGGACTCCTTGCGGTAGTGGGGTGAAGGCGTCAGCGGCGACACAACATAGAGGGTGGACTAAAGGAGCAAAGTCGAATGGTTTATCAATGTTCAAGGAGTGGGTAAACCAGGTAGCAGGGGTCCAGGCACACACAAGGGGAAATAAGCTGTCCATGATAAAGTGTTGTGAAGGAACAATAGAGATAAGACTACCAAATCATCTGGACAAATGGACTTCTCCCCACATTCCCCGCCAAACCCGGTAAAGCTCTTCCAAGACTTGTGATGCCTTTCATTCTGGATCGCATAGCCCCCCGCTCAATCCACGCTGGTAGGCAAAAATGCTTAGGCTAGTACAACAGAAGCCACCCACTCCGGCTGTTGGGCTCAGAGTGGTATTCCCTAGAGCAGCAGTACCGAAGACACACCTCCCACTTGCGAAAAGCAAACAGCCGGAACTACACCATTTTCGGAGCACCTACCCAATAACAATCAATGTTCCCTCACGTCCCTCATAACTAAACCCTACGTTACTTGACAAGCACTGTCATCTCGAGCATAGCCTCAGAAATAGCGCAGCTTTAAACCATGCATAAAGGCCATGTACTGCACTCGAGGGCTTCAGATGCGACTAAAATTACGTTTTCCAGCTTGAAATTCCGGCGCGGACATAGCCATTCCGGTCTAGATTACAACAGTGGTAAATATTCTCCAAACTATCTTTTCCAACACAGGGCATTTAGGTAATGTATTTGCCGCCAAAAACGACTGTATGCTTGGGATAAAGACTCAGGCAATAAGCCCGACGCGCAGGTCGAAGTATCAACACACTAGTAGAAGTTAGAG